ATTCTAGGAAAAATAGTAAAAGCTTTTTTAATGAGTCATTTTAAGAAGCTACCATACCCTTCTCATTTTGTGTTTTTGTATATGTGTATGTGTATTTTGGATAGCAGTTTTGGGAGATTTTAAAAATTTCTTGCCTCCAACTATCCATTCACCATCTAAGATGCTGAAATGTAGAATTATATCTGCGTAGAGTTTCAAAAAAAAGGAAAAAAGAAATGTCTTAGAGATTTATTAGCCAAAATTTCTGCTTTTTGTTACATGTGTGCACACCTCCCATTGAATGTAATGAGTTATGAAAATGCTACTGCCTTGCATTTGAAGCTTCTGTTGTGCTATTTCTGTGTTCAACTTGCCAACATCAGCAATAACAGGATAGATACTGCCTTAGTAAGAGCTAGCAATTGGAACTTTCATTGTATGTATGCTGTGCAATGAATAATATGTGTCACACCAATCAGAGCTATTTCTAACTAATAAATACTGAATACGAAGTCATTTGAACATTTAAAATATTATTTTCAAACATACAAAAAATAAAAATGGAAAAAAAAAGAGGGAACCTGGGTGGCTCAGTTGGTTGAGCATCCAACATCAGCTCAGGTCATGATTTCACAGTCCATGGGTTCCAATGCCGCATTAGGCTCTGTGTTGACAGCTCAGAGCCTGGAGCCTGCTTCAGATTCTGTGTCTCCCCCCTCTCTGCCCCTCCCCTGTTCACACTCTGTCTCTCTCTCTCAAAAATAAATAAACATAAAAATTTTAAATAAATAAACATTGTTTTTATTCTTTAGATCATAAGCATTTAGGATAAAATAAAATATACTGCATATAAGCTGCATCATACCTCTGAAACAATTAAAAGTTGTTCTTTTAACAATTAAAAGTGAAAACTATTTCACTCATCTATGGTTATAATAAAACCTAATTAAAAGTAGGTACAAGATACTCTGCCCACATATGCATAGGTGTAATATAGCAAAAAGATCCTCTTTTAAAATTTTAACATTCTTTTTAAGTTGTCTTCTGTATCTCTGTAAGGGAAGGAAAGAAGGAAGGAAGGAAGGAAGGAAGGAAGGAAGGAAGGAAGGAAGGAAGGAA